TTCTCTTTGTTTCTCATTGTCTGCTACAGCTGCCTCCTACCTCCCCTTGTTGGATAAAATTAGCTTTGTGCTAGCAGCCCAGCCTTTTATCTCTGTGTGTGAGCCCAGAGCTGTGTGCACTTTGAAATCCCCTTTGTGTTTGTTTACTGCAATATAACAAACAAACCATTTCCATGTTCCCTATCAAATTTCATGGATTCACACTGCAAGATTTTTCTTCCAGCTAAGCAACTAGATAGAAGTATTTATTTATTTGTTCAAATTGGTTGTTTTTATGCCCCATGTTTGAATTCAGTCAAAAGTCAAGTTATATAAATACACAAAAATCGTACCTCCGCAGAACTCGCTTGTTTTTCTAGTGATTGTTTCTTTGGTACAGTGTAGTCTCTGCACCAACTCTGAGTTGTGATATTTTTGTTATAACAGGATATTTGAATGTAAGGGATTTTTTTTCCCCTAGTTAGTTCACACACACTTGTCCTTATATACTGCAGGTCTTTATGTGGTGTTATCGCTGTCCACAGCTCCATGGATTGAAAATGTCTTAACAGCTGGTTTCCAGTATTCATTCCAAATCTGTTTGTTTTCTCCTTACCTGGGCAGGATGGCCACTCTGCTGAGCAAGTTCAGGATAGACTTCTCGGACATTACTGTGCTGGGAGACATAAACACCAAGCCTAAAAAGGAACAGTAAGTCTTCTTTAATAAACTTAACAAAGCTTTTTCTCAGTAATGATCATTCCTGTTTGTTAAACTAACTTTTTACTCGCAACTGGTGCTCTACTGGACACACAATACTTAAAGGACAACAGCGGTGATTTTTGATGAATTTTTTTTTTTTTGTCTGTGTCTTTGGATTTTTTAACAAATCCCATACAAAGACTAAAACCAACTATGAATTGTGTCTAGTGTCTGTGACCGCAGCCTGGTCTGGGCCATAAACCTCCATTATTGCTTAAACACTAATAAAAACACACATCAATATTTTTCTTTCTCATAAAGGAAAAAAAAAGTGAAGCCAGTCTTATTTCAAAAGCAGCCATCAGTGGGTTTTTGTATGCATCTCTTTGAGAAAAGGCCTTTTCACACTGAGGTGAATTTTTGTTTTTTTCTTTTCTTCTTGCACATCAATAATAATTTTTGATTCTGTCAATGAACTCTTGCACATCAATGATGGAATATTGCTGAGCGTGAAACGTGACCAATCACAGTGCAGCTTTATGGGCTGTGGCGAGGCATAGATCACAGTAAGGATATAAAACCATTTTTAAATCTCGAGTGTTCCTAGGAGCACAGTGGTCTCCTCACTAGGACTGAAGTTACTGAGTACTGTAAAATGTTTTTCTAACCATTAGGAATCAGTTCTAAAACTCCAAAACTAACACCCAAGTTAAACAAAGCACTGTATCTTTTAACATATCGTTTTCCTGTTTGAATTGCACAGTAACTCCATTGTTGTACAAAAAACTTCCCCTTTTTCTTATTCTAGAGTAGAATGCTTGTGTGTAGAGATAATTGATAAAAACAACTGTATCGATATCTTTATATATATATAAAATTTATTTTATGTACATTTAAAGTCCAGTGAGTCACCTCTGTTATTCTTCATAACTAAATAATGATCTATACGTCATTGGCCAGGGAGCCACTGGAATAGTAAATCACTGCCACCCTCAAGTGGACTGTTGGTGTAAAAACAGTTGAGTGTTGGCTGCAGAATGTGACACTCACAGAAATGAACTTGTCAGTCATTGCTATCAGAAATAAGAACGTTGTACTTGCTAATTTAATATCGCAACCTCTAAAGAAAGTGGTTCAAACAATCAGGCTAAATGCTTGAGTTTGTTTCCAGCCTGTCTGATTAAACAGCGACCAGTGATGTCAGGTGTGTGGCATCTGAGTGGCAGATGCACACTGATGTACAGTAGTCAGACTGACGTACACTTTTTTTTTTTAATTAGTTTTCTTCACAGAGGATGGAGCATTAACATTTAGTTTATGTTCTTGAAGCATATGACAAAAAAGATCTGATCTGATAAGAGAACATTTGAACTTGTTGGCCAGAATAAGTCTGGCAAACACTAGGCACTGCTCATCATCTGACTGGAGCATCCATATGGTGAGGTGTGGCGATCGCAGCATCATGCTATGGGGAAGCTTCTCAGCAAAAGAGACCTGGAGACTGGTCAGAGAGAGAAGGATGAATGTGGACAAATACAGAAAGGTCCTTGAAGAAACTTTGTTCCAGTGTGCACATGACCTGACACTGGGTCACTGTTTCATCTTTCAGCACAACAGTGACCCTTATCATGCAGCTGGAGTGTCTTTGGGACAGAGCCTGCTGAGCGTGAAACGTGACCAATCACAGTGCAGCTTTATGGGCTGTGGCGAGGCATAGATCACAGTAAGGATATAAAACCATTTTTAAATCTCGAGTGTTCCTAGGAGCACAGTGGTCTCCTCACTAGGACTGAAGTTACTGAGTACTGTAAAATGTTGTTCTAACCATTAGGAATCAGTTCTAAAACTCCAAAACTAACACCCAAGTTAAACAAAGCACTGTATCTTTTAACATATCGTTTTCCTGTTTGAATTGCACAGTAACTCCATTGTTGTACAAAAAACTTCCCCTTTTTCTTATTCTAGAGTAGAATGCTTGTGTGTAAGAGAAAATTGATAAAAACAACTGTATCGATATCTTTATATATATATATAAAATTTATTTTATGTACATTTAAAGTCCAGTGAGTCACCTCTGTTATTCTTCATAACTAAATAATGATCTATACGTCATTGGCCAGGGAGCCACTGGAATAGTAAATCACTGCCACCCTCAAGTGGACTGTTGGTGTAAAAACAGTTGAGTGTTGGCTGCAGAATGTGACACTCACAGAAATGAACTTGTCAGTCATTGCTATCAGAAATAAGAACGTTGTACTTGCTAATTTAATATCGCAACCTCTAAAGAAAGTGGTTCAAACAATCAGGCTAAATGCTTGAGTTTGTTTCCAGCCTGTCTGATTAAACAGCGACCAGTGATGTCAGGTGTGTGGCATCTGAGTGGCAGATGCACACTGATGTACAGTAGTCAGACTGACATACACTTTTTTTTTTTTAATTAGTTTTCTTCACAGAGGATGGAGCATTAACATTTAGTTTATGTTCTTGAAGCATATGACAAAAAAGATCTGATCTGATAAGAGAACATTTGAACTTGTTGGCCAGAATAAGTCTGGCAAACACTAGGCACTGCTCATCATCTGACTGGAGCATCCATATGGTGAGGTGTGGCGATCGCAGCATCATGCTATGGGGAAGCTTCTCAGCAAAAGAGACCTGGAGACTGGTCAGAGAGAGAAGGATGAATGTGGCCAAATACAGAAAGGTCCTTGAAGAAACTTTGTTCCAGTGTGCACATGACCTGACACTGGGTCACTGTTTCATCTTTCAGCACAACAGTGACCCTTATCATGCAGCTGGAGTGTCTTTGGGACAGAGCCCAGATTTCAGCTCTTGCATAGAACAACAGAGGCTGTTCACAGACACTTCCTATCTAATCTGATTGAGAGCATACACTTTATGAAGTGACTGCATCAGTTATCTTTAGCTGTGATAAACTTGACTTAGTTATTTCAGTGAATGTAACATTGTGTTCTGCCGGCTTCGAATACAAATAACAGGTGGCACAGAATAACAATGTTATTAACGTTCAGTTCTGGGGTTCTCTAGACAATAAGGTCCTGGTGCTTTGTTGTACATATTACAGCAGGTTTCAGCTTTTCATCTCTTTGTCCACCACTGTTTCCCAAACTGAGCTGAAATGGACGTTACAAACTCGGGGTTCCAGCTGTCTGTTTTGGTGCTCTAACGGGTTTGTGTGCCGTTCTTAGTAAATGTGCAATAATCTGCATAACCCATTGCGCAGTTTGTTTTTTGCGGTCCAACTGGACTCCATGATGAGTGAAGAAAACTTATTAATGAACAAAAGCCTCAGAAAAAATTAAATTACACAAAATTTAATAAATTAGCAAATTACAATTGCAAGTTATTCAGTTTTGTTCAGTCCAACTTGCCAGTCTCAGAACCAAATTCACTGTCTGATGTCCATAAAAACACCACCGCCAGCGAACGTCCCATGGATTAAAAAAGTGTGGGGGGAGTGGCCCAAGATACGCCTTTAATGGCAGGAATTGTGTGCAGTGCATTGTTGTTATTTTTTATTTTGGTGCAATGGGAAATTATACAACATTTTTCTTTTTTCCCCCGCCTCTGGCTAAGGCACCACATTTGGAAATAATTTGGACGGCTGCTACAAAGGTGACCTAGTTTATTAAAATGGGCCCTTTTTCCTGCAGTAAAATGTACCTTTTATTATTGAGTTAAATCCAAAAATGTCAAATCACAACCTTTTTTGAGTATCAACAACAAGATTAGAATATGCATGCTGCGCACCATCTATCTGCTGCAATGTATAATTGAGTTTCACATTTTTTGTCCCATTAACATTATTACAAAAATCTTTGACATTTAAGAATCAATTCAGAAATGTAGAAGAATTGCCATTCTTAAGTGAGTCCCCCTCCCCCCCATTAAACTGTTGTGTAGCGTGTCAGCCTTTGAGGAGATGATCGAGCCGTATCGGCTGAAGGAAGATGACATGGAGCAGGAAGCAGCTGAGAGGCTGAAGGACAGTGAACCCTGGAGGATCACTGACAACGAGCTGGAGCTGTACCGCGCCAAGGTTAGCACACTCAGACTCATTAGGAGTCTCTATCGTTTTATGTAATTTAATTTGAAAGTAAATATTTAACGTGCTGAACAAAGTTTCACATGGTTATTTTTTTCCAAAGCTTTGGCAGCACGTGAGAATGTCAGGGAAATGAATACTTTTTTAAGGTAATACAGCCCAGTTTCACTGGTTGTATACAGTTCAGACAGGAAGTGTTTTGGTGTAAGCCAGCAGTGTGGCACTGTGTGAACTGGACTGCTGACTGAGGGTCAGTGTTACAGCAGCTTCTGATCGTTATCTGGTAAGCTGATACCTGTATGTTTCATTCCGTGTTTGTTTGTTTTTCTCTTCAGACTAATCGTCAGATCAGACTCAACGAGCTGCTGAAAGAGCACTCAAGTACAGCCAACCTCATTGTCATGTAAGCTGCTGCTATGTGTGCACGTGTGTGTGTGCTGCATACGTGTTCTTGCACAACTCCAGCTGTTCTTATTAGTGTTAAGCCTTATTGCCAATATTTGTGCTTTACTATGCTCTGCTGACATTTCATATTTACTTTTTAAAAAATTGTTTTACAAAATACAAGTTGTCAGCAAGCACGAACAATATTGTTTTGTGCGTTTGTAACAAACTCATAACATTATACTTTACATAGTGATTGTTCAGGGGTGAAATTGTTAGGGATGGACCCAAATAGTCAATGTTTTGCATATTTGTTCTTTGGGTAAGTTCAATTTTGGTATTGGAATATTTGAAATGACAGGAAATTTCAGTGCTGATGCAGTCTGAGTCTGATGATGAGGAGGAAAGAGAACATGATGGAGACAGCTTGGTCCACTGGTGCTTACATCTCTGAAGATGTTAGGGCAAACATCTGGCCATTTCTTGCATAGACTGACTTGGACTGATTCTAAACGGCAAATTTATGGCCTGAAAAATATCAAAACCTAATAAAGTAGCATAAGACCAATACTAGGATGAAGGTTCCCAGATCAGTCAATCATAAGCCAAAATGAGCACTGCTCCCAGTAGCAACCCCCCCACCCGACAAGTTGACCTCAGACACCCACAGACTGAATAACTGAATACACAGCATACCAGAGTGCAGTGCTTTACTTTGTATTATTTAATATTATACCTATAATTGTTTAGATTCATATTGATAATCCTTTGTCTGGTAGTTTTTGATTCTTAATACTGAGCCTGTTTTCTATCCCTTTGCTCCTATAACGGTGTGAATTTCCCTGTCGTGGGACTAATAAAGGTTCCTCCTATCTTGTCATTTTCTTAAACTAAGCTCATTTGTTTTTGGTACTGAAACTCTGGTATTGCGACTGGTACTAGTATAAGTAAATGTAAGTGAAACTAGTCCTGTTGATGACTTCCCTCTTTTTCTTGCTTCCTGTTCCTCTGTGCAGGAGCCTGCCATTGGCCAGGAAGGGTGCAGTGTCCAGCACTCTGTACATGGCCTGGCTGGAGGTGTTGTCCAGGGACCTGCCTCCCATCCTCCTGGTGCGTGGCAACCACCAGAGTGTCCTCACCTTCTACTCCTAAACACATGACGAAGAAAATCAAGTTTTTGAGTCTCACGTCACCTTCTTAGACTCTGAGCAGACACAAATACACATCCCAGTTCCAGTCCAAATGCAAAGGTGCACCACATACACTCCAGAGACAGTAGAAAACAACCCACTAATGGAAACAATGTTGGTAATATGAATAAAGGAAGAGATGGTGTTTAAGATATGTAAATGCTCAGCAAGTGATGGAGGAATGTCAGGGTTGGGGTAGTGGGTGGTTGTGAAGTTGTTTTCTTTCTATTTATTCCAAGATGTCTGGGTTTTTCTTTTGTAGCTTTAGTGTTTTTCTAAGTTCTTCATTAAAATGTTGTTTTTTGCTAAAGATGACTTATGTCATGCTCCAAAGCAGTCATGCACAGTGGCTACATTGTTCTCATGATATGGATATCTTGATGTCAGACATGTTAATTGGATCAGTTGTTGTGTTTGCAGTGCAGCAATAATCACCTTGTTGTTTTCCTGAAATACTGGGAGAGAACCATGCGGAATGCTTTGCATCACCTTCTAAAGCCTTAAGGATGTGCCTTCCAGTGGAATCAGATGAAATAGATCATCTATATCCAGATTGACGAATTACCTATGATGTGGTGGATAACAGTTAGTTTATAGATTTTTTTGCTTGTTTAAGGTGACTCCTTGACAGTGAGAGCATTGTTATTTGAGAATGGACTGCAAGAATTGTCAACTTAATTGCATGGAGATTTTCTCTGTAGTATTTCTATCCCTATTTTACACAATTCAAGTTTATTTTGGGCCATAGTACATTAATGTTTCATTCATTTTCTAGTCTTCCTTTTTAAAGGGTTTGAATATTTACAGATACTCAACACACAGCACATTTTATCTTTTAGGCATAGTGCCTAAAAGTTTTTATAAAGTCAAGGTCCAGTTTTTTGTCACAAAAGATGTGTACCTAGTTTTTCATTAGCTTTGTCAGGTGGAAAGAATCTCTCCCATGTAGCTGCTCACTGAGTACATTTTCTTTCACCATGTTTTTGTATTTCATGTGTGGTTCTTCCCCTGCAAACAAACAGCTCTACCCAACATGCTAGTTAAAACCTTGCCTTAATGCTAGAACTAATGATTGTCATGAGTTTCTTTTGTCTTATAAGCCATACTGGCTACAGCTGTACCCATCATGCTAGTTAAAACCTTGCCTTAATGCTAGAACTAATGATTGTCATGAGTTTCTTTTGTCTTATAAGCCATACTGGCTGGATTGTCTGTGGATAAATGCAGATAACATTTTCATTAGAGGTTAGGAAAAGTGTTTCAGTACAATTTTCTTCTGTACTGTATATGCATCCTACTTTTCTTCCCATAGTCCACCCACATTAGTCTGTCACGTTGCCTACTGTAGGCCTGTGAGTTGAAGTATATTCCACAGTAGATGTGTTTTACACTCATGCCTGGCTGCTTGGTTGTCATCTGGCTATGTGATGGACCACTGGTGTCCCAAGCCTAGTTGGGTGGAGAGACTGAATGACATGCAAGCTTTACATCGGGAGACTTGCTGGCAGGAAGAATGTGTGGAGGCAAAGAGAGACCTCTATGCATATGACCATATGTTGTGTATGTATTTGTAATAAATGTCTGTCGTTCCTTTATGTGGAAGGGTCTACTCACACACTTTAGGCACGTCTTTGTTACTCCAGTTATTTCATCCAAGAACATTGGCTCCACTATAAGCCATTTCACAGTTTGAAACAGATGTTCTAAATCAGTCAGAGGTTCCCTGTTCTTCTATGGTCATAGAGAAGATTGAAGCACAGCTTACAATCAGATAAGCACAGAGCAGTAACGTACAGTACAATCCTAAATTAAAACTGGTTTCTGCCGATACTAAGCTACAACTGCTTTTTGGAGTGGTAATGTTGCACTTATTTTTAAGGTGTGTTCAGACTGCAAAGTTTGGAAGTGGATGCAAATTCACCCTGCACAGCACATATTGAGGCACAGATGCATCTACATGACTCGAAATGTTTCAACATGAAAATAGGGAGACTAGAAAATCCACAGCAGTGGGTAGAAAACAAGATGAATCTTTAGAAATGTAAAGAATGACTGGAAGTTGCTGCATGGCCAATATATCTGTGGTCATTAAATGCAAATAAATACTGACTTGAAACACTTTTAACTATCTAATTTGCCTAGATCACAAGGCAAAAATGTGTCTGAACACACCTTAAGGTGAACTTAAGTGCTGCCTCATTCATGTACTGTATTTCCCTGAAAAATGAATAGCTCCTTTTCAGTCATAGATGACATAAATATCCATTGTGTAAACAGGATAATGTTTTGCTGCTTGTGTAGTTTATCAGAAACTTCTTGATTATTTGTGGATGATCCTGTACTCCCACTGTTCTAGAACGTTAACTTGGACTGTAACCCAAAAGGTCCATTAGAGAACACGAGGAGCGATATACCCCGTGCTTCCCACAACCCCATGGGCTGCTGCAGACCGTTCTGTTTGCCTTTCCACTGTATTTCTCCCTGTGTCAGTCTCTGTTTAAATGAAGGTGGGACTGCACTACACTCACTCACACAGACACAGCTGAGCAGAGGATTGTAGTCATGGGTCTCAATGGTCCTCGGTGCAAAATTCAGCCAGTAACAGAGACTGTACAAGCAGTTTATCAAACAGCCGTTGAGCAAGCAGAACATAAACTTGCAGAAATGTGACGTCTCCAGTGCTTTGCCCGTTTACCTCTATACCAACAAGTGACGTCCTTGATTATTTTACCTCTAAACCAGTGTGTGTGTGTGTTTAATGCTAATAACTGAACCAATCATGGACAACTGCTCTGTCCACGACCCCCCCAGCCCCCACATTCCTGGAAGCTGATTTTAGTACTAACTCCTAAAGGGTGCCAAAATTCAGCTCCCGAACCATGCCTCCAAAGTGGGCAGAGGGCAGTGGAAGTGAACACAGAAGCTGGGGACAAGCACTGCATATTTAAGTTTCAGTAGGTTCCTATAGTGGAAAAACCCCAACTGAATACTGGGGACCATGGTTATAGATCAAACTGCCACACAACAATAAAACAGGGTTGTCTTTACTTGTAATGTACTTTTATTTTCCTCTTCATTTCTTCCAGAAGCACAGTTTTAGAATTAATGTTACTTTCATGTATTTTCTTTTATTGTATGCAATTTCAAAAGAGGAATGTGAGATGATTTTTAGGTTAGTTGAATGTACTCTGTATAATTAACACTACTGCTACGAGGTAATACATATGATCTTCTTGTTTTCCATTCTCCTGTATATGACCAGTTTCCTGCAGTTAACATTCATACTGCTGTGTCCCATCAATCATCACCCATTGTCCATCCGCAGAATGTTAGGGCCAGGACTTTGATATTCATTCATATGTATGTGTGTAATGTGAAGAGGGGTTGTTATGAGCCTATACTTCAGTACGTGCACATTAACTATACACATACACATGCTCACCAGCGTATTACATATTCCCTGAGTACTTTGTGAGTATATGAAAAGCATGTATTGGGTAAGGAACTGTAAACCTTTTTAAAACTTTGAAGGCACAATCAAAGGAAATCCCTGTTTAGTTTATAGCATACAAATGCACCTCCCAAAAGCCAAAAATGTTCTTAGTGTTTGTACCAATCTTCAGATCAGGTTGGACACAAGGAAAATGTAAACATTTCACAATAAGAGACCCTTGTATCTAGAATAGACCAAAGGTAACTTAAACCTGATCCAAAATGCGATTGATCCAGACTCGGATCCATTCAGATATTAGCAATATCAGCTCCACTTAGAATAAATGTAACTTTAATCTCTGTTTATAGAAACCAAGTGGACACTGTACGTAATGTGTGTTATGTTCAAACTAAAAATGACAAATTTAAATAATTGACCCAGGCAAGCTACAGTATCTCTACCACTACTGCTTTGATTTTGGCCATTTAGAAAGTACAGAATGATACACTGATTTCACCTACACCAATTCATATATTGCATATACATATACTCTACTTTTTATTAGATTTGTTCCTAAACTACATTAGGTACAGAAAAGTTTTCAAATCATCTGAGCTCCAAGGCAATTCTGACGTGACGATTATTGTACTAAACAAAATCCTATATAGAGTATACTGTATGTGTGTGTATATATATATATATATATTTAACTTTGATATGTTGCATTAAATTAAAACAGACATCCTAGCAACATTTTACAATCCAGTAATGGTGTTTGTGTGTTTTCTTCATTTACTGTATGTCCTGATACATGGAGTCTAGAGTCTTAATGATACCAGCGAGTTCAACTAAAAAACCAAATATCACCTGTATTCAAACTGTATGTCAGCCACCATTTGACATTTCCTAATCATTGTATGTATTTTTGCCAAAGCCCCCCTTTACCTCCAGTCCTCCTCTGTCATGGTGCCATGATAATGGATAACAGTGGGGAAAGTCGTAAACTGGTCTTAGTATCTCATGGTAGCGAAGCCTTTGTCCACACTGCAAACATAAACCAACCTGTAAATAAATTCTATAGTCAAGTAGAGTAAAATTATATCATATTTTAGTACAGACAAGGTATTTATTTCAATTTTGAAATTTTAACCATTTTTTTAAAAAAGTTTTCAATATTTAGATTTTAGTTTTAATTTACATGTTTTTTTCCTATTGTTGCCTTTTTTAACCAAATTTTTTCTCTTCTTTTAATCTTTGTATTTTTTCAAATCTTCTGAAGAAAAGGTGAAATGGCAAACCAGATGAAACCGGTTTTGTTCTGCTTTCACACAAACAGGTTCAATTGACTAAGCCGGCTAATGCAGTAATGTTTTGATACACTGTACTGTCAGATATGCTTTTTCTAACATTTCAACATTTATGATTACCAATACTTTGTACATCTTTATTTCAATACATAAATGAAATTAAACCAGTTACATTCAAAGTTTTGTGCTCTGTATTATTTATAATATAAGTATAGTTTAGAATAGGAAGGAAGGAGAGTGGTTACGATACATAACTGGGTACCTGCTTTATTGTTTTGCCTCCCAAAACAATTGCTTAAAATTTATAATGTTCAAATGTGCACAACACAATCACTTACAATTAAAATAAATTAATGAAAATAAATACATCTGCAGAAACTACTTTTGGTATATGTGCTACATATTTTTCTTATGAAAAGTGCAATTGTTAATATAAAAATAAGAATGATGAAAAATAAACTGGAAAATTACACATATTTACAAATGTATTTAGTTTAGGTGTTTGTATGTATTTACACCAATATATTGCTAATTTTAGATTATATTAACTATGTTAGTGAGTATTCATTGCAACTTCACAAGAGTCAGATCTTCATTTGACATGAACTTACAGGGGCAGCTCTTGGATCCATTTTATACAACGGAGATACGAAGACGGCAGCTTGCAGTGGCTTTTAAATTGTGTTGGGAGAGACGGTGAACTAAATGCTAACCATCATGTGTATATTTTTCATTACTATGAAAAAAAATCAACAGAGACTTAATTACTGTAAATGTGCATTGCAGACACACAGAAGGTTTTCACCATTTAAACTGGGCAAAAAAATGTAACTGAAGTCTTTTAACACTTACACAATGCATGCTGGGAAGTTCAGATTGTGAAAGAGTTAACCTTTATTTCCACAGGATGCAGCTGCATTGCGCTTCATCTGTGACACAGTTTTGATCTGTCCTCTGTGCCGCTTCATCCCCCACTGGGTCCGTCTGCAGAACGGCACATTCTGGTGGTGAATTTTTGTTTTGTTTTTGAGCATCTACAGTAAGAAGGATTCCTGGTTAAATTCTTTCTTTTTTTCCCTCAACTGTGTTTGTTCTTATTTTCTCTTTTGATGTGCAGTACAAACAAAGACTACAGTCAACAGTTTAATTTAATGGTCACAGTTAAGGCATTATGAAACAGGTCAGAATTGTGACTATGTTTCAGTTGTTAATACATTCATCATAATCACTTTATAGCCTGTCTTTCACACAGGGGGGAAAACATTATCTGATTCTTGGGTTGAACTTTGTCAGAAGCGTCCTAGATGCGACATCTGTCAAATGTGGAACAGGTTGAAGATGGAATGCAGCCAAGACCCAGTGGAATCACAACCATTGACTAGACTGGCAGGGCCGGGGGTTGCCTTCCTTCACAGACAAAATGCAACGGCCACATCCACTGTAAATTACAGGTAACTGTTAAACATTAGTAAAATTATGAAATTGTAACTATATTTTGTGCTCTGATGCACCACAAAGTGATGTCACAGTGTATCACTGCAGAAGGGTGTTGATCCAGACAGCTAAAAGTAGATTTTCACTTTGTGTTAATTTGTTGCGTAAATCCACTGGAACATTTGTATATTGTCTTTCAAAAGTATTTTCAGGAGTGTGTTTGAGTCTCAGCAATAGTTTTCTGCTTCTTTGATACTTCCAGCTAGGCTCCGTTCTCTGTGTTCAAATGTAGATTTTCTGGCCCAGTAAGCAGTAAAGCCAAACCTACACCATGGATCCTCAAGTCTTTGGATCAGAGTTTTCACTGATATGAGAGTGAGCATAACAAATGAAATTTCATGGATTTAAAAAGAAAATGTTCATTTTAGGTCCACAAATAGCAGCCTTTTCTTCACTGGTCATCTGTATTCACAAACCTTTGGTGCAGAAAAAGATATTTAAACAACTCCACGTCAGATATCAAGGAGCAGTAATATCATGACTCTAGCTGGTTCTTTATTAAAATGAAACAAGAACAGGAAAATATGACCACCGCTTACAAAGAGCTAAGTTACACTAAGTTGTACTATATAATAACTGTCCTTACCAATCAGTTTTTCTGTTGTTTAACCACAATTGGCACTATGATAACAATAAGTACCGCACAAACAGACAAAATGATTGAAAAAATTATTTTACAAAGTTGTTTTCTTTTATGTTCTGCTTCTTTCTTTTTCAGTAAAGAATCGAATCCTGGTGTGTAGAGATCCTCAAGCCAAAAGTCCAGATCTTGGGGAGTCTTCACTTCCTCCTGCAAGGAAAATGAAAATGTGCTGAACTATGAAACATCACCATGTACAAATGAGCTCTGTATTTCTTGTTAACAATTAGGCAGACTGATATGCATTTTCTGTTTATCATCTTGTAGCCAAAATAAAGTTTGGCAAAGCAAATGAACTGTAATTCAATGCAATAAAATTATTTCCTTATTTTCCTGGTATTGCCACATACCAGATAAGACTTAGCGGATGCAGTTCAGATGTGGTTTGCTTTTAACTGCCGTCAGGGAAACGGCAGCAAGGGATCAACCAAAAATGTGGTGATTAAAAGGATGATTTTGCCATCCCATTCCAAGCAAATATTGAAATAATGACCAGGACTAAAGCTTTTCATTTCAGGCAAGCTCAGGTGAGAACAGTATGTACATTAATTCTTATTTACATTTAATGGTAACGTAAGTGTGTTCATTTGAATAACTGGACTGTTATTCTGCAGTTTCTGCAATACTATTACAGGCGGTTCTAAATGGCTGACAGAAGCTTTTTGGTTGGTCACTTGAAAAGAGATGTGGGGTAATTTTTTCAGCCATGTGTTTTTTAAGCTAAAGAATAAAACTTAAAGCTACAATGTGTAGTAATTTTCAAATATGTTTCTAGTAGAACCACCCCTCAAAAATGAGACAGTTGCTGTTGAAGGGTTCTGTGACCCCAGACCCATCAAACAGTCTGATAAGGCAGAGATATTCCCTTCTACAAATTTTTGACTGGGATAACACTGACCAATCAGAGAAGGCCACCATGAGGAGTTCATAACTGTCAATCACTATAGGAATGTGCTTATGAATGTGACTGGCAAGCTCCTGTAGATGTAGTCCAAGGTAGAAATTTATCAATTGCCAAATATAGGATCTGTAAATGACACTTGGGGTCTTTGATGTGATAGCACCTATTTAGACAAGATAACTTCTGGCAAACAGAAAACGTCATGGAGAAATGTTACAACAGTGGCCTATCAAAGGAGACAATGCAGGAAGGCAGAACAAAGATGGAGAAAAACTAAACCGCAGATTCACTATGACATCTATAAAGAAAAACTGTTCTTCAGTTTCATCAGTATTCCCCGATAGCCTGGCAGCTAGGATTCAGCGCTTTCACCGCTTCGGCCCGGGTCCAATTCCTGGTCGGGGAACCTCAGTTTCATGCCAGTGACTTCTGTGTCAGTTCCAAGCCTGGATACGTAGAGGGTTATGCCAGGAAGGGCATCCGGTGTGGATTAAAAAAAAAAAAAAAAAATCTGAATAGTCAGTGTGGAAAGTGTGGCGACCTCTAACGGGACCAGCCAAATGTTTAGTGTCTGCATATTGCTTGTGTTCATTCATATTTACAAGTTCATCAATTTTTGATTTATTAGGCAATCTGCTAGCACATACAGCTTTAAAACCACCTATTGTGTAGGTCTCCTCATGCTGCCAAAGCAGCTCTGGCCTGTCAAGGCAAAGACGCCACCAGAGCTCTGAAAGTGTCTTCCGATATCCAACATCAAGACATCAGCAGCAGATCCAAGATGGGGCCTCCATGGATTTAACTTGGTTTTCCAGCACATCCCACAGATGCTCAGTTGGATTGAGATCTAGGGAATTTGGAGGCCAAGTCAACACCTTGAACTTGTCATGTTCATCAAACCATTCCTGAACAGTAACTACTTTGAAGGGTGTAAAGGCAAGGTAGTACCAGGAAATCTGAGATTTCTTTAAAGTCTATAAAATCAGTGAATAGGTTGCAGAGTCTGCATGTGTGTTTCCATCTATCCAGCCAACAATCTGTCTCTTTTTAATGCTCCAGTCTATCCTCCAGACACCCATCTATCCTGTCAGTCATCCACAACCTCTATTCTTCTCCCCAAATTACCTTTAAATAATTTGCGAGATTGCCATGGATTGTTTGTGTATCATACTCCTTCACAGTCCAGGATGGCTTGTACTTCTCTTTGTCCACTGTGTCCACTGCTCTTGTGTCCACGTACAGAGGATTCATTTTAATGTTGGACTTCAGAGTCACTGATGTAATGTGATTCTCCAGATATCTGTCGATAAATACAGCAGGAGTGCCTTCTGGTGATGGGGGAGGCCTGTTGTCAGTCTTAACCCTTTGCTCCCTCTGTGAAGACAATGAGGATTTGAATTGTCACCACATCCACACTTTCAATAGACAGAGGAGATATTCAAAACATATACAATGTAGCCTAAATCAGAATTCTTTCACATTAAATATATGCTGACAATTACTGTTGCTTATATCTGTTTCTTTCATTTCACTGGGAATCATAAGCATTGTTGCCTTTACACTTGTATTCCGTCACTGCAGTTTAATTCATTTCAATTCAGTTTTATTTGTATAGCCCCAAATCACAACAAAAGTCACCTCAGGACACTTCACAAAGTAAGGTCTAGACCTTTTATTATCATTATTATTATTATTGAAGAAAAACCCAACAAATCCCCCTGTACCAGTAAGTCCCTAAAAAGCCTCCAGTTAATCCAAAATGCTGCAGCCAGAGTACTGACAGGAACTAGCATATCATGCTCCTCTCCTGTGGAACCAACCCCCAGTCTCAGTTCAGGAGGCAGGCTTTAAGAGTAGACTTATGACATTCCCTTTTAGGGATAATCACCTTTATTGGCCAAGTATGTTACACACAAGAAATTTGTTTCCGGTACAGAACTCAACCAACCGAACTCTAACCATCGGGGCAACAGGGGGGTTCAGTGTCTTGCCCAAGAACACTTCGACACATGGACTAGAGGCACTGAGATTCGAACCTTCAACCTTCTGGTTGGGAGACGACTGCTCTACCACCGCACCACTGTCACCTCCCCGTTTTGATAAAGCTTATAGTTAGGGCTGAATCAGGTGACCCTGAGCTGTCCCTTACTTATGCTGCTATAGGCCTAGGCTGCTGGGGGTCCTCCCACAATTCTCTGTGGTCTTCTCTTTTCCTCCTACCCTTTCATCAATATGCTACTTTCGCATATCATTATTTCCAGCCTTCCAAATCTCAACTGCATTTCTGGCACCACTTCCTTCACCTCTGGAATGGCATTTCGCTCTGCCCCATTTGACACTCTCCTCTTCAATGGTACAGCTCCCTCAGCTGGTTTTGGGGCCATGTGGAATGAGAAAAAGTTCAAGGATTCATGGCCTCTAAAAATCATCTGCTTCCTACAAATACCATCATCAGATGCCTTTGAAATCTAGCCAATCTTGGTATGACCTGACAACATCATAAAGGCAGAACTCATCTCTTTCACCATTTGTATGCCACCTCACATGGCTCTCCATTTGTCATCAGTTTTCCCTTCAAAAAGAACACAATCCTGGGTACACAGCAACATCGCTGACTCTCTTTCTCACTTCCAATATCAGAGATTCAATGTGCTGGAGTCAGAGGAACATTCAACAGCCACAAATCCTTCTTCATCAACATTACTGCTCATCTAAGCTCATTCATTTTTCTCAAAATGCCATGCTCAGCAGCATGGCACCATGAACACTCTCTTCCTATTGGACAACACTGAAATCCTTCCATAATTTCCATCTCCTATACCACCTGCATTTTCCCCACAAGTGATCTCAGTTATATCTAGCTTCATACATCACTTTCCATTACTAGCATATCTAACCAACACTTCAAGTTTACCTAAGTACAATCAGATTATTTTTCAAACTCCTCACCAGAGAGTCACTACCTTCTAACATATCCACTCAGCTGTCCATGATAACAAAACACAAACAATATGACACCTACTCTGACTTCCTGGCAGCTCCCATTCACCTAGGACCTGTTATCTAGATACATCTCCACCATTTGCTTCATTCACCATCTTTATTCCTTTGCTAACCTGAAGCCATGTACCTCCAGACTTTTTGAGAGGTTCTGTGATGTTCTGAATTTATGGCCCAATCATCCTGCTCCAGATTATTTCAGACTCCATAGTTATCTACCTCCTCAAAAAGAAAGAAAAAACCGCAACCATCTTGGTAGTCCTATACCAATACAGCATGATAAACTTGATTCTGAGAGGATTTGTACGAATCAATTGTCCAGCACCCTAACCCCCACCTCAACACAACTGCACCCTCAAATCCACTCTTCACCACTGAAACTGGTCACATTGCTACATGGTGCTGGTTCCTAAAGAACCTTAGACAAGTACTCTCTCCAGAATCATCCCTGATTTATTCTCAGACCACTCATTTAGAATTGGAGCCACCACTACAGCTTCAATGAAAGGAATCCCAAGTCACCTAATCAAGACTATAGGCCTCTGAACACCTCAAGGCCATCTCCTATACAACTCAAGACATTAAAAACATCTAGTCTGCCCTTATCCATTAGAAGGATATGGGGATCTGCCAGTGCCCTGCCCACTTTTTTCTAGCCTACTCATATCCCTGCTGAGTCTGCCAGTGCCCAAGAGGGGCACAGACCTCCTTAGCCTTCCCCAAAACTGCAATGTACACAAATATACTATTTCCCTTCATCACACTGATTCAGTGAGGAAGGTCCCTGCTAATGAAATAATACAAATCAAGTCAAGGTCAATACAGCTTAGATGCATAAACAAGCAAATAATGTATTTGGGTTCAACTGTAATATGAAATTTTTTTTCAGGCTTTTAGCCTGCATTATTTTTTTTAGTGAATCACAGAGATGTGGACAGGAAACAGGGAGACAGAGAGTTTGGACCTGATCTGTTGATGTCATGCACACAGTGTGCTGCCGGGTGCATGGTGCACCGTGCCGTTACCACTCAGATACAGGGCACTCCATATAAAATAATATTTAAGGGATTAAATGCATATCTGCTTCAAAGGGTGGGAACAACAGACAAAAGCACACAGAGATCAACATATACTACAGTTCTAAGAGTAGCTCTGACATAGTCCATACCTGGGAGTAAATTCTGTTCTGCCATTGCCTTTGACTAGACATGACTGTCCCAATCTGGAACATGCCATGTGTGGCTCGAAGTGTCCCAACATCCAACTGAAGGAACTTCTCTGGGTGGTTGTTGTTTGGCAAAACAGAAATATCCATCCTGGTTCTGTTGCGCCATCAACGCCGAATATTATCTGCCGGCAGCCTGTCTGGATGAACGTGCTTACTACAGCTCAGAAGCTCTGTAATAATTCATGAAGAGCAAGATATTTATGAGCCTGTATCACTTGCAGCTGTGTGTAACCCAACCTGACCATTAAGAGCCTGGTGCTGAAAGCAAACCTTGTCAGTGGAAAGAAACAGAAGGAGAGGTGGAGGCCTAGTGCCTTAGTTGATGTAAGCTGTATCAAAGCCATCTGAGTATTATGTTACATAATACATGCTGCTGCCTAAAGAAGAATTACACATCTCTGTGTAATGCCTGGCACACGCTAAAATCTATGATCCCTGATGTTTTATGTAATTTCTGCTATGCTACAGCCTGGTGTTGGTAATGTCCATTTAATCAACCCCGAGTCCCGAGCAAGAGTTTGTGTCAAGACTTTAGAAGATCCAACAGCAGTGACATTCTCCTGATCCCTGAATTATTGCTCACCCCTGATGTTATTGCTTTAAATGAAACCTGCCTACACAGCTATATCAGCCAAGGATAACAGGATGAGGAGATGGCCTAACTTCTCTGGAATGAGATTTATGAAGGTTTAGTATACATTAGCCATTTTAAAACTTTTGAGAATTTAAGCCCTAGTTATTGAATCCTGATATTATTACATTGTTTGGAATTTCAATAAATTAATATTAAAATGCTAATTATAATATCCATGTCTGTTGTTCCACAGACAGACACCCTCTCTACCTTTAAGATTAGACTTAAAGCTTTCCTTTTTGATAAAGCTTATAGCTGGGTTAATACAATATTGCTGTTTTTCAAAATAATCCCAGTAGGACAGTGAGGGAGGGTAGAAAGGTATTTGGTATGTTGTGATATGTCTTCTGATATTTCATGGCATCATAAATAATGTGGCTGAACAGGGATAAGACTGACAGCCATCTTGGCAACTGCAAGATGATGTATCCAAACCTCTTCTTTATCTGAGGAACATTTCAATTTCCTCATGTGCTGGTGAACAAATTGTAACTGTTTAGTGCCTCTTTTCATTGTTTTGCACAATTTGGTATAGTTTTCCACTTTTGGGGATGTTTTCTGTCTGCTTTTGTCTTTCTTTTTTAGGAGTATTGCATCCATCATTTGATTGACATTCCAATGGAAAGTTTAACAGTACAGTTGAACAGGTTCCCTGGTCTAAGGGCCCCTGGGGCTCGTGCCTGGTAAACCCATTCATTAATCCATCTATGGGTGTGGTTTTTGTTTTAGCAATTATTTCTTAACATCAGCAGGCAGATCTATAGCTAAATATCAGCAGACAGTAATCTGTAGGATACATACTAGCTTTTCTTTAAAGGAAATGCTCAAGTAGATGCAGTTCTAAGGTGTACATACACAAGCACAGAGAATTTAATTAAATACCTTAGGACAGCTGGCAGATGGCACAGACATACACAGGAGCTGCAGAGCAGAGCCACACGGAGATGGGGCTCTGTGGGAAGAATCAGCAGGCCTACGTCAGAGATAGAGTGTTAAGGGCCTAATAATAAACAATGTTTGCCCAAATATTTGTTTTTATATGGTAGCCCTGAGGTGCAACACACAACATCATCTCACAAAACAATGACATTTCAAAAACAATGACAAAAAGGGACAACAAGGGCATTTCAGATAATGGAAAAGGTTGGGACAACAACAAGAAGAATGATGTCCACTTGTACATAATCAACAGCCCATGTTTGTCTATTCTTACTTAGCTCAGGAGTGGCTGATCTTTTCTTAAGAAATGTCCCAACCACTTTTCTTACTGACATAACAGCAACTGGCTTCTGATCACAATACAAACTTGAAAGCCCACACTAGCACACTATGGTGTCAAGAGACGCCTGTCGCTCTGTCCCCCATACATTCCTCGGTCTGTCTGATCACTGCATGGTCCATCTCATCCCAACCTGTAAGTGGCCTCCTGTCAGTAGCATCGCTGCAGACCCTGCTCAGACAGCGTCATATGACCTGATCGATGATTTTTGTAGCAGAGATGCAGATGTGAGCTCCAGTTTTATGCGACTTGTTTTTGTCACATTTTTATTAGTCATAACTTAAATAACAGCAACAACAATATTAATAACAGTTGGCAGGGGTTAGGGGGTACCACAAGGCACAATTCATCTGATTTCCATCATCATCATCATGTTATTTTCTAGTGATCCTCTCCTCTCAATAACAAAGGGGCGGGAACTGGATGAACAGAAGTGACCAACCACTGGACTGATTGTTCTGTTACATGTGTTCATATTTAAGGGGAAATTGTGGTTTAAGGAATAATATTGGTTTTATAGGTTTGTTTGTTTTTTGGTTAAGATTAACATAGGTGAAAGTAATTAAATGAAAGATCTTGTGTTTTACTATCAACTACAGAGACAAGGGCTTTGTCACAATATGCTAAGTCTCCACTTAGAACCTTGACACTTATACATAATATAAACCCCAGAAAACCAACATAACACATAATGCAAAAACACAACCTGACTATATGCAATACAAGTACAAACTAAACCGTGCAGTCAGGGAGCAGTACAGTGAAACTAAGAATATAACTAGACAAACAGACAAACAAACAAACATCACAGAAATCAACCAATCAAGTACCATAGGTTGAGAATGAGAGTCTCAATAATCAACGCCCAAAAGCCCAGAGATGAGGCACGAGGGGTAGAGTCCTTAGGGAAAGCAAGAGACAAACAAAACTGGAGAATGATAACAATGAGGAAGGTAAAACAGGAACAAAACAGCGAATGCTGTTCAGATGAACCACCAACCAGCCTGACTGAGGGATGGGAGGAGACTATAAAGGCTGAACCAGGAGGACAACCAGCAACAGGTGAAAGTAATCGGAGGAAATCAATGGCCAGAGTAAAGCTGAGGCAGGTGAGAGTGGCACAAGACAGGAAGTCCCTTCAAAATAAGAGTCCACAACAGGAAACAGCCAGGGATCATGACATCTTTTTAATAAAGGTTATAGTTAGGGCTGGCTCAGGTAACCCTTTGCTGTTATAGGCCTAGACTACTGGGGGTCCTCCCTGGATGTACTGAGCACATCTTCTTTCATCTCCTCTTCTCTCACACCCTCTCTTCAGTCTCCGTGCATCTTTATGCCACCATTGCATGTCTCCTCTCTCCTGTAGTTTGTGTTTTCTCCTTTGTCTCCCTGTACCTTTCAGTGGGTATCCCTGGCTCTGGAGCTGTATGCATTCACCGGCTGTTTCTTTGCTGTGTTTGTTGATGTTCTTCTTTTCTCTCTCCCCTATCCACTCACCCCAACCGGTCGAGGCAGATGGCCGCCCACCAAGAGCAGGGGTCTGTCAGAGGTCCTCAAGTTGGACTTATTCAGAAACTGTATGATAATGATTCAGTACGCTATCAGACTGTACCTATTTTTTTCTTCAGTAGGCTAAAGCCATGCCTACACTGCATGTACAGCGCTAACACCTGGAATGTTTATAAAGCCAGATTTAGACTTGTGCATCATTGCACATAGGCTTATGCATCTTTCGTTCGAAGACAGTTGCATAACAGTTGCATTTATACTTGTAGGAATGTTAACTTTTTAACTGGGGGACACACAAACAGCAAAATACAAAAAAAGTTGAAGAAGTCACAAAACGGAAATGACAGATTTTAAACCAGGTTCAAAGCTGTTATAATTTTTATCCTGGCACTGGTATTATGCCATTGAGAATAGGTGGTCACCCTAGCCAAGTAATGCTCCAGTGTCTTTGGAGATGTGAGTACCTGCTGGCAGACCAGTAGCAGGCAGCTAGGTCCCAGTCAGAGCAGTCAGATCAACCAGTGGGTGTGCAGGATGCGCAGCTTTGCACAACGCGTAGTTGAGATTTGGGAGGCGTGCGCGTCTGCAACCCACATTTACTCATAAGCCCCTTCGCTGCATAGGTACACACAGACACCTATGCCTAGTTGCAGACATGTTTAAATTCAGCTTAAAGCATGAGTGATAAGCAAGCTGACAGTGTGGACAGCTGGACTGATCAATATAGGAGCATATCGGTTGCGTGACACGTCATATAAAAGACACGGCTGAAATGCTTGCGGTGTAAACACAGCTTAACTATAATAATGTATAATATTATAAAGTGTTAGCATTTGCATCTTGGTTCAGAAGTGTTCCATATAAATAAAGTTATTCTAAATGTTATTATTTGTATTTGTCCCATAATGCTTAAATTGATCCCAACCTTACCCTAAGGCTACACCCGAGCATTAGAATCTAAGAATGAACGTGTACCAAAGATTCTGAAATATGTTCGTCACATGGAAACAGATGGAGGACACAAGAAATCACTGCCTGGCAGTGACCGGGGGCGGGGGGGTGGGGGGGGGTTGTGGTCGTGGGCAAAAAAAAGGTTGTGCACCATTTCTCTAACGATGGAACATTAGGAAGGAGGACAGAAAAAAACCACAGAGTCTGAACAGCAAGGCAGATATTGCACTTTTCCTGTATTCACACTGGGAAACCACTATCATACCGCCTCGTATCGCGTCCCTGACAAAAATGGATAAGTACAAACTGGGAATCCGGGCTGATGCGGTAAGACATGGAGCTTTTGATATGCAGTACTGTGCTGTCCTGCTTTGTGCACGGATACTATGCAGAGACACAAATCAGATGATGCATTTTACCTCCACCAAGCCCAACACATCGTGTTGGATTGTGTTTCCTCCTAATTTATTACATTTGACTGATTTCACTGCGACGGTCTGACAGATCGAACACGGTAGGATCGTGCACATTTCCAGATCTGTACACTTAAAAGATGGATCTAACCATTCGGGTTTGCAAAGTATGTCGATCTGTTTGAGATCGCGTGTTCTGAGCACGGAGGGATGCAGCAGGTTATCCGTCTTGCTCATTACTGTCCAGTGCAATCTTTTTTTTTTTTTTTTTTTTTTGGACTAATGTGTTCCCATCCCTGAACACTGACATCATCATCAGCATTCTGGCTCCAGGCAATAGCTTTTCATGCAGCAGCAGTAGTCAGAATAGTACGCACCGTTTGCTAGCTCGGCACGTCAGTGCGACTTTTGCGCGGACTTGGTGCATTGCTCTGCGACCTAAGGTAATTTAATGACAGATAAGACAGACCGTCACCACTGCACTGTTGTATTGTTAAAAAGGCTGCATGGGATGTTCACATTTTGTCACGAGAATACAGGCAGAATATCCTAGCCAGATGTTGCAGAGCTGTGCACAGGCCACAGCAGGCCTATGTGTGCAGACAGATAATTGCATAGATGGGTGTATAACATCAAACTACAGCAGTAGGTTTGATAGTTTAAGTTTTTCTGTGACAAAACCTTGCATTAATTTTGATTTGTAGCTTAACTGTGAAAATTTGACAACATTTAAGAACTTAAAATTAACAGTAGTTTCTTTGTTTTCAATTATTGATGATTTATCCAATTAATGTCTAATGACTAGCTAAATGCTGATGGATGCCATTCATAGGCCCAGTGTTAAGTTTAAAATGATGAAATTTACATTAGCAGCGGACTCTCAAAAAAGTTGAACCACACGTTTTGTATTGTTATTACAAAAATAACATGTAGGTTGGTATTTTTGCCTCGGTTGATTATAAAATTTGTGATATTTTCAGTCAATGACAATTTGCCATCATTTCAGCACTATTTTTGCATTATTCATTCAGTAAAGTGATAGTGGTAGAGAGGAGCTTTCCTATCAGCCAGCAGTACTCAGGTGGCCAAATATGGCTATGTCTCTGAAGAAAGATGGTGATAGAGTAAATGGCAAATGGATTTATGCTGTAGGAGCGATTTTCTACACTCAAGCACTTTAAATGCGCTTGAGTGCAGAGTGAGGCAACCACAGAAGAGGGCAAAGCCAACACAAACCTTATGCCTGCAGCAATTTTAATTAGTGACTTACATATGACAAGTGATCGTTTACCTTTCACCCCTGTCAGGTCATTTTCTTAAATTTATTTTTAACAAGACTAACACTGAAGGTCCAGTAAAGGTGGTGCAATGCAGCGTCTGGTCCCATTTATTTTCTGTTGCATTATGAGTGAATTGATTATTGAATGTAGGGCTGGCTAGTTGTGCTGATCTCTCGATTCATTTGTTATTATGATTCCTTTAATTTCAGTTCAATTTGATTTGTCTTCTTTAATGATGATTAATTTACATCCCATAACTACCAATGCTATATAAAGTGCTTCTCAGATTTTGGGGAACTTATTTTTCCCCCTACATTCACAAATGAGCAACACTGTTGTTTCCTTGAGTATAAAATTGTATAAAGTTCACATTATAGAGTAAATTTAGAAACACACACATGTTTAAACACACAAGGAATTTGACTCTGGCACAGAGGTTCTCAGTGTGCTTTGTAAGGCAACAAGAAAATAAAAATTTAATTGTGTACATTCCAAATAGGAAAATATGTGCAATTAAATAGGAAAGAGAACAGGAAAAATTTTGTTGTATATACATATATATATGCACATTGTGATAGAAAAGCTTTCAAGCTGATATATATAATGGTTATATTTACAATTTATTGGACCAGGGTGCCTGCCTTGGCCTGTCATACAAACATGGATTAATTACTTGTGAGAGTGATGACACCAGGGAAGAAACTGTCCCTGTGCCTGGTTGTCTTAGTGCACAGTGACCTGTAACGCCATCCAGAGGGGAGGAGTTCAAACAGATTGTGTCCAGGGTGTGAGAGGTCTGCAGTGATCTTCTCCACCCTCCTTTTGACCCATGAGGTGTACAGGTCCTCCATGGAGGGCAGGCTC